GACTCGCCTCTATAAGTCCATGGCCCTTGATCAAGTCTGTTTGAGTCTACACTATGCAGCTGTTCTCCGGCAGAGACGACGGCTTCCTCGTCTTCTCTCCCCATCACCGTCGATCTTCACGAGCCCGTAAGAGGGGGTCGTTGAGACATGCGCCATAGAAGCAGGCAATGCAATGTCTTGCATTTATCACAGCCCGTCACATACCAATCTCCACCGATGAACGTGTTAATCGAACGAGGCTCTAAGAAACGAAGACCATCGCCGATGTTCCTGCCAAGATGTGCCGAAACCGAACTGATCAAGAACGCGGTCCATGAAGAAGTGGAACTAGATGATCAACCTATGCCGTATCTCGACGAGCGTTAAAGGTTTCCTGATATGACAAGTATTAGTTCCAATGCCAGTAAGAGGCGCCGTGGGGATGAAGGAGTCGCCAAAGTGGATCAAGTGAGCGGGAAAGGCGGGACATCGGAATCACTGAACACAGGTCTTGGAACCCGGCGAGGATCATGCGTCCGCTGCAGCCGATGTTTGGTTGAGAGCCCATAAGCCGACTGGGGCTCTCGGGCTGTTTCGTGGCGATCCTCCTGATGGAAAAAAGACAATCACAGACAGCCCCAAGGCAAAGTCGGCCTGGCTGATCGAGAACGCAGCCCACGAGACATTACCCGGGAGGAGAGGTCAGGACTGAGTCAAGCGCGGGGAGCAGCTGCAAGGCTCGCGGGGGAAACAGGCTGTGTCTAAGCTGACTGAGCGAACTAGTGGCTCGAAAAGAAAAATGGTTGGGAGTCAGACCTGCATTCAACAATGAAGGCATGAGATTCCTGTCATTGATGCAGCTGTTGGCTTCCTTGGCCAGCGTCTGGATCCAATTAGTCAACAGGTAGGATTGATGTGCCTCGGTGAGGGATTTTCTATGACTGGCGTTATTGGCTTTCCCAAGCAAAAGCAAACCGAAGGCAGCTAATAGGCGAAGTGTTGGCGATGACGCAAGGCGAGAAGAGGTGATCCGAGAGGAAGCGGCACGGGAAGTGGAAGAGCAGAGGTTGAGCAGGGAACAGAGCACTTCCATGGAAAGAAGCGAAGAGGAAAGAGTACGTACCTATCACCGGACCCACCTCAGCGCACAGACACAGATTAAAGTAAGGTCGGTGCACTGGCGCACAGTACTCGGGCTTAGGCACGATGGCGCTACAGGTCGGAAACACGAGGTGTGGCTGCTCATGGCAGATGCCACGCACTTTTCACGGTAGTCTTCGAGAAACATCGGAATAAACTGTGTCGTGGCTGGTAAGAAGGAGTCGGGCGCTGAAGTTGGTGCACCATACCACGATAATGTAGAGTTTGGAACGCTAAAGAGGTTGGAGTTTGGGGCGAGGGGCCTTGTGCCGAGAGGGGCTATGGGGCTATGGATACGCTATGGGAATGGTGATGGGGCATTCGAGGGCCATCACGATCTGCGGTGACAGTTAGGTGCAAATCCCCCGCCAGTAATCCCCGCCGAGTCTAATGCTTATTCTGTCCACAAGACGTTTTGTTTCCTCTGTTCGCCCCAGGTCTGTTGCTCGTATAAGCAATTTGGACATGCAGCCCAGTGCGTTGTGCATGGCAGGAAAAGCACATCTTGTTCGATTTGCATGTGGCTTGCATAAAAGGCGTCTGGAGTCCAGATGCTTTTCCTTCACACTGCAGAGTGCGGTCAACGGGCGAACTGCTGGTCTTTGGGGGCCGAAAAGACTAGGTAGCCAAATGATGCACACACAACACACAGAGAGAGGTCGGGAAAGCATGAGATGGGATGGATGTCGCATGAGAACCGGGACAGCAGGATGCATGGTTGAGATGGCAACCACCACCTCGCTCAGCTCAACCTCTCTCTCTTACCCACGTCCTCTGTTCCTCTGCCCCTCTCCTCCCGCCGTGGTATTCTCTCCTCATTCTCGCAGTTCCCGCCCTTCTGGTTCGTTCGCTCCAGCTTTCCCAGGTTTCTCTCCGGCCTGTTCGTCACTTCTTACAGGCTATTCCCGCCTTGGTTCCAATATTCCATGTCTTCCCCACACCTCCAGTCTGTCTTCCCACGCACACCATCACGCCCACACCGACAACCGTAGGCGCCACAACCCACATTGCCCGCCCTTGTCCCCTTGCCCGGCGTCGTCCTCCGCATATCCAACCTGCAGCCATTTCCTGATCCTACCTTGCCCTAGGCATCTGTGCCGTTCCCGACGAAGCCATCATCGCACCAGCCATCGAAAGCCCGCTCAAAGTCTGCCACGCCGCCCCGCCCCGCCATGCGTGCTGTCGCCCTTCCTATTCGGAGAGACTTGGTCACAACAACTGACTCTGTCGATGGTCTCGACCAACTAGCCAATATGCCACCGCAGTCTTGTCAAGTGCCCTCCGGATGTGAGATCGGAACATTCGGGTGTTGAGCCTTGCCGTGGACAACATATTCAAGTGCGCAACTAAGACAATGCAGGCCTCGAAGCGGGCACAAACGCTGCGCAACTTCAAGAGATCATAAGAGCACCGCCCGCGGAGTAACCGCAGAAACGGCGCCGCAAACACGCAGGCCTCACGAGACGAAAAGGCATGACATGCGAGGCCGAAGACTCAAGGTTCTCCCTGTTCGCTGACCGTCAGCAGCCTAGGCCGCGCACCTCGCCTTGAACATCAGCACCATGTTGTGGTGCCACCAACCCGCAGCTTATTCGTGCAACTTGCAAGGACTCGAGAGCTCTGCCGCGACAACCCTTTCGTGCGCTGGCCGCAATCGAGCTCCAGCATCTCACCAGTCGAGTCATCCATTTTTCTAAAGCTCGTCGACCAACATACGCCCGATATTCCCGATCCAGCATGGCGCGTTCCGTCCGCCAGGCCCCATCTGCCCACTTCACAGTCGCCGGCTTTTTGGGTCCTTGCCTTAGCTGCCCTACCGGGACTATCATCCGGCGAGCTATTGGCAAGTTCCTGTTAGCAAACACCACATCAATCCCGGCGGCCAGGCTAGCTCGGGCGACCAAGCATGCCTCGCGGAAAACTGCGAAAGCCAGGGCGATCGCTGATGATGCTCGGGCAACGACGGCACTTCTGAACTCTGCCGAGAATTCGCATATCAACCGACAGACGCGTCGGATTATCGGATCACACGCGAGTGCGCCAGTCTTGGCTGCGTTTGGTCGGAAAGCCTTCGACTGTCATCTCACCCATCTCCAAGCTGACATCACCAGCCACATCTGGGGACCCGAAGTGGGATGGGAAGCACAACTTGGAGCCTCCGTTGACTGCCGGACTCTAGGTGCTATCCGCCGCTGGCCTGGTCACCATGTTCGCGGCTCGTCCACAAAGTTTGGCGCCCACACCAAATCAAGTTTTGTACCTCGTCCGCTCCTGGTTCACCTCACTGGTTGGACGCGTTCCTGTGCACCAAGGATTTTAGACTGCAGCATCATGCGTTTCTTCATTGGTCGGCTCCCGTGAGCTGCAGATCCTTGGCCAAGTGCCACGACCTGGACACGAGCCCTCCTGTACACACATCAAGCACGGTTCTCTGTCCAACGACGGAAATCTTTGTACCTCACTCCAACTGCCTCATATCCAGATGGCAAGTCCAACAGACATATGCAGCTAGAAAAGATTGACAGCTTCGGTTGAATGCTATCAAAAATACGGATGAGCCGCGTCCCCAAAGCGTCAATTTCATTTCGACGACTTGGATCCGTGGGGAGCTAAGGCTGTAGCCCACGAATAACGATTGCCATTAGAATGACAGACTCGATGGTGACAAGGAGGGGCATGGTGATCGCTGGCAAACATCACCGTCACGCTTCTGCAGTGCTGCCTTGCCAGCATATTCAGCTTGCTAGTCAGACAGAGTTAGCAAAAAGCCCTGGCAAAGCAGCATTGCCTCTCTGTCGCAGCCTGCAGCGATTCCTATGACCACGATTGGGCTGAGTGACCCTGGAAAGCTCACCACATAAGAGACAATTATATTAACTACACATACGCAGTTGTGTGTCATTGTGAAGGCCGGCCGTGCCCGACAACAAGCGGCCAGTCAAGGAGACCTGCACGTTCGAGCATCGCGTCCGCCTCAACGCCTAGGCGGCATCATTGACAGGGGCCAGGGCGGTCTGCCTAGAGTCTGCAAATCCGACGCCATCGGCCCTGTTCAGCTACCTCGGACTCTCTCATTCGCTGTTGCCATCGAACAAGCTACCAGTCTGACTGTCAATCTGACATGGGTAATGCTGAACCTTGTCAAGCCTTGTTGTCGTCGTCCAGCCTCTTCTCTTACTTGCAGTGGCGCTACGCACACCGGATGGCGTATGGCTTGTGTTCTGCGTGTTGGTCAATCCAACTGTGTCGCCATTCGGCCGAGACTGTTTCGTTCATCTGTTCACACCATGGGCATCTCTGCATAACTCACGCAACGAGGCCCCTCTCCAGCTACGCATGGAGCTCTAGACTCTCTCCCACTGCTGGTCTGCATCTCCAAGATCGCCTTTCCTCGTATCACAGACTTGGCAACTATTCCCTGTCCCTCCACCCATCGTCTCTTTCATGGGTCAGACCGTGGCCTGTCTGCTGTCCACATGGCCCAAGACCAATGCAAGCCGCTGTGGAGATCGACGAGACCTGTTGGTCGACCGGAAGATGTCATCGCGACCTCCGCATTTTCTCACATCCTTTCCTGCTCGTCTGCAGGTAGGAAGTAGAAGGCCCGGGCAGACCGGCCTTCTGGTCCTTCTCAAGATATAAGCATACCAGCCATCCTGCTTTCCTCGACCATTTCCGTCTTGACTCTCCATCCTCTTGCAGCTCTGTCCAGCCTCTCTCCATCTCCTAGCCAACCACCTCGTTGTGCTATCAAGTAACTCAGTCGTTAAGGTTACTTAAGAGACTCTCGCTCAAGTCGCAGCTCTTGCTTCTTCCAACCATCGTTTCAAGGAGTATCTCTCGTTGATTACTCTCAACCCCAACCCGCCCCACCCGCAACCATGAAGTACACTTCTGCCCTCCTGGCCCTGGCTGCCACCGCCATCGCCACCGGCGACGACCATGACCACGGCAAGGACAAGACGAAGACGATCACGACGGTGACCGAGACAACAATTACAACTTTGTGTCCTACGACCAAGACCCACTACGGTCCCGGAACCACATACTATGAAACCGAGACCGTGACTTCGACCATCGTCACAAAGGTCCCAACTGTGATCATCGAGACCGTCCCGGGCCCTACCGACTACGCCACCGAAACAGATGTCTCCTGGACTACGTATACATCATACTGTCCAATCACTAAGACTGTGACTGGGGATGGGCACACTTACGTCACAACCGTGACTGAGCTGAGCACCATCACCGAGAAGGTCCCTACCAAGGTCTACGAGACTATTCCCGGTCCTACTGCCGTCGTCACCGCCACTGTAAGTGCCAGATAAGCCCAATACGGCTACCTACTTAGTGCAAGCACAACTTCGAGCCCCTTGCTAACGTTCTGGGGGGAAGGACAAGGAATTAACTACAATTACGTCTTACTGCCCTGTGGTATGTCAAATCAACTCTATAAGCCTCCTTGAACTTTGCTGACAGCTCGATAGACCAAGACCATCACTGAGGAAGGACACACTTATACCGTCACCACCACCGAGCTCTCCACGATCGTCACCGAGGTTCCCACCAAGGTCTACGAGACTGAGAAGCTCCCAGACGTGACCAAGACGGAGAAGGAGGTGGATTATGTCACAATAACCAGCTTGTGTCCTGTCACTGAGACCAAGGTTGTTGATGGCCACACCCAGACAATTGTCTACACCACCACGAGCACCATCGTGACCAAGGCTCAGACCACGGTGGATGTCTACACCACTCTCAAGACCACCAAGCATGTTGAAACTGAGGTCTACGAGACAATAACAAAGCCTGAGACCACCTACAAGACCATTGAGCACGGCGAGACCATCTGGGTGACCAGCACGGACACCAAGAAGATCTACGTGACGGCCGTCAAGACCATCACTGAGGTCTACCCCGAGACCAAGACGAAGCACGTTGATGTCACGGTCCCCGTCACCGTCGGCGGCGAGTCGGTCGTCACTCAGAAGTCCTGGGTTTATGTTACTGTCTCCGGCACTGTCCACCAGACTCTGACCCAGGCCCCCTCAACCGTCATCGTCCCGACCACCAGCGCTGTCACTCTTCCAGGAACTACCGTCGCGTCTACTGCACCCTTGGTTGTTCCGACGGCTGCTGCCAACGCCCAGAAGGCCCCCGCCGCGGCCTTCTTGGCTGGTCTCTTCGGCGCCGTTGCTCTGCTCTGAGTTGGACGAGCTTGAGCTTCAGATGAGCCAATTCTGCCTTCTATTCCTTTCAATTCTATATACGCACTCCTCATGCCGAAAGGCGATTGAGGAGAGCATTTTATTCAACAAATGACCTTTATGATTAATTCCAATGATATACCACGGCTACGACAGCATCACGGATATGGCATATACCCAATACACTCTTTAACGACGGAAAATGGCGGAGGCTCACGGTCGAGTGGCGATTTAGGCGATTTTAGGCGATTTACGGCATTGGGAAGGAGGGATAATTCTTAAGCAACAACAGGTCTTACGGCAGCCCCTTGTCATGGGAGCCACCAGCAGTAGTAGACCATAATCATATTCTTGTATATACCTAGATGAGGGCAGAGATTGGGGTCCGGGCACGAGGCTCTGAGACTAATGGAATAATGACACGAAATATCCTGGTACTATCTTCATTGTGCCTGAAATCTCTTCCTGGGCGTCTGGTTCATTTATTCAAACGAAGGAGGGTCGGCCACTTGCCCCAGCGGCCAGGCTTCCTTCCCCAGAAACCATCGACAGCCTTCCCAGATGGGAAAGAAGAGTAGGTTCACAGCATATGCGCCTTCCTCATGTTGAAGCTCTTCTCCTCTCTTGGTAGCAATCTCCTTTCTAGGCATTCCAATATGGTGAGCACTTTACGTAATTGGCAGGAGGAGGTTCTGTCTGGCGTATTTCCCATTGCCTGGACGCAGGCAAACCAGCATTACGCTCTCGAAGTTCATCGAAGCACCGCATCTCGATCACCGCATCGAAAAATATGCTCATCCGCTGTCTGTCGTGGATGCTCCCAGACCAGGTGGTGCGTTGGCCGCCGGTCGGAGCGATGTCACCTCGTGTAAGTCGAGCGGGGGCGGGATGGGGATGCAACATCGGGGCTTTTGCACTGCTGGCCGGGCTTCACGTTGTTGGGTCGGGCTCGGATTCAGTGCTTGGCGGAGGGTCAATCAATTATTGGAAGGTAAGCCGCATCGATATTTGATGTCATGTTCCCTTTTTGAGGGGAGGGGAGGTGAGAGTGGGATGGATGCCACGCCCCTTTTGGGTGAGCTGCATAGAAGCAATTGGTGTCGGACACTCTCTCAGTCATTCTCTATGCAAATTTGATGTGTCTTTGGGGTCGGGCCAAAGGTTTGGGATTTATGGGAAGGGCTCTGTTTGGTTAGGCGATCTTTGCGGGGGAGTGCGCGTGCGGTTGGCCAGTGGTTGACGCCGTTGGAAGCGTAAGTGAGACTCTTGCTACGAGTTCCGATGTGACTATGTTGGCTTCTGGTCCTATCTGTGAAATTTCAAGATTCCAAATTCAACAAACGCATAACTTTAATCAAGTCTGGGAAGTATCGGCATCTGATGTTGGCGGATGTCTTCACGAGGAGCAGTGCTAGAAGTTCAACTCAAACTATATAAATCATATTTCTTTGACTGGGATGAATTTGAGCAATCGCAGAAGTTGAGCCCGAGAGATTGACATCTGAAGCCATGCGGTTTTTCAATGCTTATCCCCATCCTCAATTGTCCAAGGCTGCGATGATTTGTCATGACATCAATCCAGATCTTGTCGGCGTCCTTCATGTCTAAGGTGATTCTGATTAGTGATGAATAAGCCCCCGACAAAAGGTGAAGTGGCGATGTTTAACTCAGTATAATCCCAAGGAGATTTACAAGAATGGACAGGCTACATGCTACAACTACGAAGCAACAATATCTTCTCAACTGTCGATTGGTGATACTTTTCACTGAAATCCTCGCGTCTCACTTGAATAGTTAACTATAGTGTAGTTCAGACATTCTTTGCGAAGGGAGGCTGATAAATGCTTACCTGGGCTCGATATACCTGGCGCCATCAATACAACCGGCATATAAAATCGCTATAAACCGCGACTGATTCTTGATACATGAGCGGTCCCAAGCCAAATCTCTGGCATCTGGGCACCTCTTTAGTAGAATTCTAGACAAAAGCGGACTAGTAATCACGACCTAACAACCTAAAGTATTCCTGGATTCCGCGTGACACTATGGGAATGTGGGCCACGCAACATGTGTCCTTCGCTGTCTTGTATATTCACTACAGGTCGTTAAATATTACAACAAGAATAAGCTGGCAGTGTTTAAAGATTTTCATGCGTGGTTCTCCGCAAAAGCTCATCACATAGGCTTCAGCCAGATAAGCATACCTCTCAGAGGGGCGGAGATGAACTTCCACAGTGCGAGAGCCGGATTTGTTTCCGTTATTGGCTCGAGGCGGAACAAACGTAAGTTATATACAACCTAAACTTACAGGCACAGCAATGCATGGCGCCATAGAATATATGATGGTGCAAGCGATCGTGTCCTACACGTCCTGTCGTGAATCCGCTAGTCTCCTCTTGGGTGTTGATGCCAGCGCTCAGTGAGATGGAATGCCCAAGTGCCTATGATCTATGAGGTACGAAGCAGTACCCAGTCATGAACCCACTGCTATCGCTTCGATTCCCTCTCGGTGTATTCGCACAGTCCGTGCAGAGAAGTGCTGGACAACACCTAAGTTTCACGCGAATTACATGGCCCCTAAGTTGTTCAACTAGACCTTGATATAGTCTCTTCAGTTACCAACCACCCCTTCCGCTGGTTTCGGGTCTTCATTTGCAGAAGCATAGGAACACGTTCAACATTTAATACTTATCGTGGGATGGCCATAGGCTCTCAAGCATGCTGGCTATCACTTCATCGGGATATCTCTAAGTGTCATTTAAAGCGCCCAGGTCTGATTCTGAACTCAACAGCAACGAGCTCGGTTTATCGCTTTCCCGACGCATGATGAAATACGAGGGGCTGCGCGATGACCGGAATTAAGCAAGCCTGTTAAGTTAAGATACCTATGTCACAATACAGATTGGAAGTTCTGCTTTCACCATTTCTCAACTCCAGTGTTTCTCATCTGTAATATATACAGTCTGATTATTCTAGTCCGTCTGGAATGTGCGTCGTGCGTCAAGTGCGTCGGGTGGGGTTATTTAAAATCCGTAACTAGTGCAAGGCCACAAAGATCAAACACAAGATGAGTGGATGAAGTCATTCGACCTCCCCCTTATCACTAAGCCATAGATGCTCCATATTCCACGATTAATATATTCGCCAAACCCCTTTGCGTACTTGTCAAATAGGAGCCCACCTGGTCGCCGCTGACGTCCGTACCCCCTCCCCTTTTTTTCAAGTGACAATGACCGCAGTGCTCTTGACAATCTGATGGCGCCGACACCCACGTCCAGCTCCTCTGGGTTGACACGACGAAGGGGATGCCAGGTACCTTTTTCAGGGGAAATCCTTGCATTCGTCTTCGCTCTGGCCCGTGGCCTTCGACAGCTTGAGTACGGCGTCTTCGTTTACCTTCGCTTTCATCTCCAAGAATGCCCTGCGATGTGAGACTACGCGAGAGCTAGTGTGGGCTGGATGCCACTGGAAGTTCGTCACATAACGTCGGCTTTGAGGAAAGATACCCCGTTTTGGAGAACCTCGCAGGAGAACATGAAGTTATGGTGGATTTTGATCGCAAACAAATCGAAAAGTTGGAGCTCGATGACGTGACCAGTCCGTAGGTAAGGATCCCGGCCGGTCTTAACGGTGCACAGTGGCCACCAATCTGATTTCTCCTACACCCTTTGCGAAAATCCAGGAGGATAGTGAGGATCCGTGTTGTCTTAGATATTGATGGTGTATATTCTCTTTTGGATACTCCAAACCCCACAGATTAGCTGCCGAGGCTTTTCCACTACAATGCTGCAATTGGGGAATGACAGGACGTAAGAAGTTTGTCTCCTTTATGATTTTCTCGAGAAATTTGCTGACGGCCTCCAGGGAAGGTGTCGCCTTGACGGCTTGGTAGAGCTCGATAAGACGTGTAATATCATTGCCGTAGGCGAGTTCAAGCCATGTTGCGGATGCCTAACCTGTCCTGTGGGCGCCAAAGGTAGCGTGTGCCGGCTTTGCGGGAGTCTCCTGAGACTGAATTTAGCAATTGAACAAGTAGCGAAAGTAACATATTCTCCAAGGCTCCTTATCGTCCCTGTCGTCCCTGTCGTCCATCCCGCTGTCCACAGCGCTGAGCTTCTCGTTGCAGATGATGGCCTTATTTCTTGTCTAGAGAACATTAGCTACTTCAGCTTGACTATTAATAATTTCACTTATAGCCACACTATCACCTTCTTTGAAATCCATCAACTTGAAAGCTAAAATGAGGGGGCAAGGGGGGGGGGGGGGGGGGGGGGGGGGGAAGGGGACCAACGCGAATAAAAGACTCACCAAAACTCTTCCTCCGCCTCAAAAGATGAGGGGGCCGCCTGGAGTGGTCGCTTTGTGGGGGAAG